GTTGAGGATGGCCCAAATCCTTGGGACCTTACACACGCGTGGGAGACTTGGAGGAGCTCCTGGCTTCAGATTGGCTCAACTCCAGCCGTTGTGACTACTTGGGGAGTGAACCATCAGACGGAAGATCTTCCTCTCTGTCTCTCCTCCTCTCTGTATATCTGCCTTCCCAATAAAAATAAATAAATCTTAAAAAGAAAAGCAAAGACAATCCCAAGGGTGCCAAGGGCAGCAGGCAGAGCAAGAGGTGCCCTGTGCACTTGGGCCCTCTGACCTAGACCCATGCCCTGTCATGATGGCAGGGGTCCATGCACCTGGGAGGGCAGACAGCTCTGGCCCCTTTCCTCCCAGAGTTCACCTACTCGGACCTCCTTCCCTGTGGAGAGAGGGGCACGAGGGGCAGAAGCCAGAGCAAGGAAACCTCACCCCACCTCTGCCCTCAGTTCTCTGCTCCCCAGATGCCCAGTCCCAGCCCACCTCTCCCTCGCAGCCCAGCCCACCTCCTGGCTCAGTCAGCTTTTCCATCTCTCAGGAGGCGGGCCGTCTCCAACCCCCAGCACCTCTGAGGCCTCGAGGGGCAGCTGAGCCTTTTGACGGCCGCCTGCACAGGCTGGGCCTAGAAGCTGCTGGGGCACCTGCAGTGAGAGTTGAGTTTGATTCCTGACTCTGCTTCCAATCCCGGCTTCCTGCTAACAGACACCCTGGGACTCAGATCTGTGGATCTCTGTCACCCACAGTGAGATCGGGATCGAGTTAGTGGCTCCTGAATCTTTTTTCCTTTAAAGATTTATGTATTTGTTTAGAAGAGTTACAGAGGGAGAGAATGCTTCTGTCTGCTGGGTCACTCCCCAAATGGCTGTAATGGCCAGGGCTGAGCCAGAGTCAAGAGCTCTATGCAGTTCTCCTAGGTGGGCGCAGGGGTCCAAATACTTAGACCATCTTCCACTGCTTTCCCCAGGACATTAGCAGGGAGATGGATGGAAATTGGAGTAGCGGGGACATGAACTGGCACCCTTATGGCATGGCCACATTGTAGGCCTCAGCTTGCCTGCTATGCTAGAAGGCTGGCCCCTTGATCTTGGCTTTGACCTGACCTGGCTGTGTCTATTGGACACATTCGGTGAGTCAATGAGTGAATGAGAGATGTCTGTCTCACCTTCTGCCCTCTGCCTGTCAAATAAATAAAATGGATTTTGAAAAGTTAAAACAAAACAGTTTTCCTTTAAAAAAGAAGCCGAGCTGTCCTTTTAGTCTTTTGAGGCAGAACACAAGCAGGGAAAGTGGGTTACAACCTGCAAGAGGTGCCTGAACGAGGGGAGGTGGCATGATTTGGGGCCTGTGATTCAGACTCACACCAGAGGTCAGCCTGATGCCCATGAGGGGGTAGCAGGGCAGGGCACAGCGGGCAAACGCCTGCCCCTCTGTCAGCTGGAATGATGGTTGTGCCCACAACTCTGCAAGTGGTGATTGCGAGCCTCCGTGCAGCTCCAGCTGGCCACAAGGCTCTGCCTGCTCCCTTCCCTCCTCCTTGCCCTGGCCCAGCCACCCTGACCTCCTGGCTGCGCGTGCAACATTCCAGACATGTACTCTGGTCGCTCTTGGCCCTGTGCCCTGGTCTTCCTTTCCCCTGAGTGCTCGCCACTGCTCACGTGTGTGTCTGTGTCACCTCAGTTCACACATTAGCCTCCCTGGCTGAGCGCTTCCCTCTGCTCCGTGCCACAGGACCAGTTCCCAGCAGAGCAAAGCAAAGAACGGGAGGCTTCCATCGCCCTGGGCTTCCCCGAGGCCACTTGCCATGCTCTGGGGAGCCCTGGGCCCCCCCAGCCTCTGCACTCCCTGCGGAGACCCAGGCCTGGCTTCATGGGCTGCCATCTGGACCCAGCCTGTGCTTGGGGGACGACTGTAACCTCAAGGAGATGACCTTTTGTCCCCCTCTGCCAGGGGGATTTTTGTTCCTCGTAGTTTAGCCATGACGGGGCTGTGGTTTGGTTTTTTTCTGTCCAAGAGGATAAACAAGCCTGGGGATTGCTCAAGAGTGGGCGGTCTCCTCCACTAGTCGTGGACACTCCGTGAAATGGCAGCAAGAAGCCTGGGCTGGTCACTCACAGCGAAACTTCAGGGAGGAAAGAACCTGGAGGCAGCCAGGGGCTGCTGGGGAGTGGGGTCTGGGGGTCCGGGCGCTTGCTCACGTGCTGCTCTCCTGGGGAGTGGCACAGTGTGCACTTGGGATTTCTGCCATCTGCAGCTGCCCTGACCCTGTGGCTGCCAGGCCACAGATAGATCGGGGGTACCCCAGCTACCAGCACTAGGGCTACGCAGGGAGAATGATGAGGCCCCAGGGCATGGGGTGCAGGAAGTACAGCCCCTCCCTGCCCTGGGGGTGTTGGCAGCAGCTGCTGGGGCACTCAGAGGGGCAGGCCCAGCCACTGCTTTCCGGGGTGTGGGGGCGCACTTGGGGTCGTGCGGAAGCAGCAGGCCTCTCTTGCAGTGGGGCTCAGCTGGATGCTATGCACAGGGGGCACTGCAAAGGGCCCCATTTCTTTGGTTTCGGGGCTCTAGCCTGCCCCCCAGCTCATCTTGCTCAACCAACCCTGGCATCCTTCCAAGTGGCAGCACCACGGGGCCGAGTTCTTGCTTTTTTTCATTCGCTCTACAGTTTTTTGGGCCCACCCCGGTTGACCAGCCAGGAGAGGAAGTCAGAGGAGAATGGGTGCAGGTGCACCCCGTAAGAAGCCCCGAGAAGGGGTCCTGGCTAGGCCCATTCTCCCCCCTTTGACCAGGGAGCCTAGAAGCCATCCCCCATACCCGACTGTGAGAGAAGAAGTGCTGGGATCTGTGTGTGCACGTGGGTGCATGGGCTCATGTGCGTGTGTTTACAACTGTGTGTATGGTGTACATCAGTGTGAGGCGTGTATATGTGTGTCCATATGAGTATGTGTGTATGCACCTGTACATTGCAGGGCTGTGTGCATGTGTGAGTCTGAATGCACACGCATTTATGCATTGTACATACGTGTTGTGCAGGGACGTGGTTGCAGGCTTCCCAGCCAGGAGGAAACTCGAATTGCCTTCTGGACTCCAGCTCTACTTCCCCTGCTCAGCCACCTGCATAGGGAGATCCCAACTTCACAGGATCTGCTTGTCCAGGGGTCGGCCCTGCGCCAGGGATGTGGGTGGGTCCAGGGTCATGGGTGCATCCAAGTTGAAGTCTCATGGCCCTGAGTGGGGGCAGGCCTTTTCAGGAAGTGACGCTACAGCTAAGTCCACTGCATGGGTCAACAACCTCAAAACACTGACCCCACGCCAGGCCCTGGAACAACAGCTAAGAGGAGTTCCAAGCCCCCGCCTGCCCCAGGGCTCCCCTTTGGTGGGACAGGCAAATCCACTCATGGGTACCCTGGGTCCCAGGAATGAGGAGGAGGAAGACCAGACCTCTGGCCTGGGTGATTCACCCAGGGTGGACTCCTAGGGGTGGAGATGGCATGCTGCTGTCTGGGAAGACCCAAGGCAGACGGGGCTTGTTGCCAGAGCTGTTCCAAGGCTGCTGCAGGCGGAGGGGTCAGTTAGAGGCACAGCGCTAGGAAGACACGGGAATGCTCCTTAGCAGGTGCCCCCAGCCGCTGTGGGCCACATCCCTGAGCTTCCAACTGTGTGAAGCTGGGGTGGCCGGTGCTGCTCACCAGGCCACGCCAGGAACACAGCCACATTTCCGGGCCTGCTTGTCACATGCAGAGGGACCAGGCCAGACCTCATTGCCCCAGGCCCCTGGTAGTCACCCTTCCTAGGCAGTGCTGTGGAAGGAAAGGGGAAAGACCAAGTGGCCCCTCATCTGCTACACATCAGATGGGGAAAATGTGGTCCCCGGTGCCCAGGCTGGGTTTGTTCAGCTTGGCTTGTTAGTTGCTCATGTCCAGGCAGACGGCTCTGGTTGTTGAATAGCCGTATGTGTTAGCACTAAAGCCCAGGGACATTCAGGCACTTGCCTAAGGCGACACAGACTTAAGTGGCTGGAAACCAGGTTTCCCTGCTTCTGCCTACACTTACCTGTGTAATGCAGGCTTTGTCAGGCATGGATCAGCCATGCGATTGCGGCTGGCCATACAGCAGGCCAGCCCTTTCACTAGGGCCGCCCCCTGGGACTTGGGGTGTGCACTCACCCTCTTCTGGCCCACGCCCACAGCTTCCTATGCAGGAATGCATCAGCTCTGGGCGTGCTCACAGCAGGGCTGAGCAGGGGCTTGGTCATAGCTGGAGCTGGGATGTCCTGGGCAATGAGTGTGCCAGAGGCTGTCCTGACCTGGAGCTAAGGGCTGGAGAGCTGCTGCCAGCCAACACCTGTGGTCATTTGGTGGGGCCAGCGGCAGGTGCCAACCCAAGCAGCAGAAACCCCTAAACACAGCCTGAGCCAAGATTGTTGTACTTGTTGTTAACTATGTCCATTTGCTGAGTCCAGGGCGTCATATTAAAGGCTGAGGGTTGGAGACCAAGGCCAGGAATATGCACACCTACACGTGTGTGCACCTGTACATAGGGCAGAGGGACAAGCTAGCCCACCATTGCCCCGCTGCCGTGCTTGTTACAAGGGGCCACAGCTGGGCTTCCCGGCTTGGGTAGTCAGGGATTCCTGCAGGAAGCAGCACTCAGCTAAGAGGCGAAGGGGCATCTCCCGGGTGCGAAAAGCAAGGGGAGGCACTGGGGGTGGAGGGCAATGTGGTGATGGAGGCTGCTGGGCTGGCAGCTTCAGGGCTACTGTCTGCCCTCTGCTGTGAGGAGGCATGAGGCCAACACCGTCCCCTAGCCAGTCAGCTCAGCACCTCCACTGCAGACACGAGTGTGCTACACTAGAAGGGGCGGGCGTGGAGGCAGAAGCAGGCAAGGGGTCCCTCCAGTTGCCACATGTGTAGAGCTGCAGAGAAGGTAGCATGCGGGATGAGAATCTGGGCGGCCGTGTGGCTGCACCCTGAGGTGGCCATGCTGATAACTGTCTTGCCTCCTTCTTACAGTTCACTGTCAACCCCAACAGCCCAGAGTCTGGGGACAAGTGCCAGTTAACCCAGTACTATGACGACAGGGTCCAGCGGTGCTGTAGCAAGTGTCAGCCAGGTAAGGAGGGGACCAGGGCCCTGGATGGAGGGTGTGTGCGTACATGCATGAGGGGTGGGAGGCCCGGGGTCACAGCCTTTGGTTCTTACTGGATTCTTCTAAGCCCATGCAGTAGCCCTGGTTCCCGCTTCCGTCCAGGCTTCTGCACGTGCTGCTCCCTCCGTTGCACACTTTCTGCTTCCTTGTCCCTGCTTAGTTCCTGCTTATCCTCTAGACCACTGCTCAGGGGCCCCTCCTCCAGGAAGCCTGCCCAGCCAGGTCATGTACTCCTTTGAGCTCCCACTGGCCGCTGATACCCTTTTTAAATCTTTTTTAAAGATCTACTTTTTTTAAAAAAAAAAAATTATTATTAGAAAGGTAGAGTTACAGAGAAAAGGAGAGACAGAGAGATCTTATGGTTGCTGGTTCACTCCTCCCAAATGGCCACGATGACCAGAGCAAGGCCAAGCCAAAGCCAGGAGAATGGAACTCCATCCAGGTCTCCCACGTGGATGCAGGGACTCATCTTTCACTAGTTTCCTAGGCGCATCAGCAGGGAGCTGGACTGGAGTGAGTGGCCAGGAATCAAGTTAGTGCTGATGTAGGATGCTGGAGTCACAGGTGGTGACTTAACTAGCTATTCTACAACATCAGGCCATATAGTCCTGTGACTACAGCTTGGTTGCTGTCTCCTCATACCCTCCTGGGTAGGCACAGTATCTTGGCATTCCTGACACATGGCACAGTGCCTGGCACCTGGGAGATGCTCAAGCACATCTGACTGTATCAGTGAGTGTTTATCCATTGTACAGATGGGAGACTTGAGAGGTCAGCCCGCTTGTGAGAGCCAGGGGCCCGACACCCAGTGCTGCCCTTCCTCTCGGTTGTTGATGTGTTAACACAGAGAAAGCATAAAAAGCATCCACTGTATGTTTTAAGTACTAGACTCCAACAGAGAGAGAGAGAGAGCAAACAAAAAATCCTTGCCTTCCTGGAGTCTGCGTTCAGATGGAAGCAACAGAGCTAACAGATGTGCAGCTCTGTAAGTGCCTTGACCCAAACGAGACAAGGTCAAAGATGGAGGCAGAGTTGGCCGTGGTGTCTTATGCAGAGAGAGGGGGCATCCGAGAAGGCGACATCTAGGAAAAAGGCATCTATGTATGACTGACCCACCGACTAGTTCTGGTCTGTTCCTGGCAGCTGGGGAGAGCAGAGGGGACGAAGGGTTCAGAGCTGGAGCACCTGCTGGCACAGCCAGACATGAGACATTGAGTTAATAGAGGCATGGGATTCTGTCAAAGAGCTTTGGGGGTGCAGGAGATGAACCACCCCCGAGCCCTCTTGCCCCTGCTTCCCCAGGCCACCGTGTGAAAGCCTTCTGCACAGAGAGCTCAGACACCGTGTGTACCCGCTGTGAGGACAGCACATATACGCAGCTCTGGAATCTGGTCACTGAGTGTTTCAGCTGTGGTGCCCGCTGCAGCCATGGTGAGTGGCCACCCTGGGAGGGGCAGCCCCAGCATCCGTCCCAGCCGACCACATGCCCCCCATTATCCCACTACCCCTACGGCTGCACACGGCTTGGGAACAGCCTAGGCCAGCAGTTTTCAAGCCCTGGGGCCTAGGGTGGTATAGGAATAGCTCTTTCCAGTTTGTAAGCTGCAGCTCCTGCTCTCTTTGCCAATGGCTCTTCAGCCCCTTGAGTAAAGCAGGTAGCCCATGGGTGGAGGGAGATGGGTGCCCATTTGGGGGTCAAGGAAATAGTTCCCAGGAGAGCAGCTGTGTTTGCTCACGCTGTGATGGAGCTGGGACCAGGCAGTAGCCCTAGGGACGCTGGCTGGTCTCCCCTTGACCTGATTCTGGGAAGGGGTGGTGGGCTGCCCGGGAGGGCTAAGTGGATGTGGCAGGACAGGCATGACCCGGGACTGTCTTTTTGCTTCCACAGACCAAGTAGAAACCCAAGCATGCACCTTGAAGCAGAACCGGATCTGTATGTGCAAGCCAGGCTGGTACTGCATGTTGAAGAAGCAGGAGGGCTGCCGGCTGTGCGTGCCTATGCGCAAGTGCCGCCCCGGCTTCGGCGTGGCCAAGCCAGGTATGGGACAGGGTTGCAATCCCCCAGGGGCTTTCCTTCGTGGGCACCGCTGTGGTGTCACAGGAATCAGTGCATCTGCCCAGCCTGGGAACATGCTGGGTGAGTGGCAGCCAGGTGCTGGCTGCCCAACATCCGTCCACCTGCCTAGCATTTGTTCTTTCCTCCAGCACACGTCACCAGGCACCTGTTGTATCCTTGGGCCTGGGGATCCAGAGATGGATCAGATCAAGCCGTGAGCTACCGCAGTGTTGGGTGATGCTGTGGGAAGCTGGACCCACAGAAGCCTGGATGCTGGCTGTGTGAGCACATGCACATGTAATTGCATGCATACATGTGCATGTGTGCAGCATTTCAGTAGTGATGCAAGCCGAGGTCCTCAGGCCTCAGAGCCCACTCAGGCCTCTAGGACGGAGGCTCCCCTATTCCACGACCTCACCGAGTCGCCTTCTGCCTCCCCCACCCCCGCTTTTCCCTTGAAGGCACTGCAGCATCAGAAGTGGTGTGTGCGCCCTGTGCCCCAGGGACATTCTCTGACATGACCTTATCCACGGATACCTGCAGGCCCCACCGGATATGAGTGGCTGCATCCCGAGTGGGAGGGGGAGGGTACTGTCCCCTGGCATCTCTGCCCTAGGCGAGTGGCAGCTGTAGCTGCCAACCCAGACTGGACATTGCAGGCGATGGTCCCCACAGTGGGGGTGGGGGCTGGCACACAGACTGTGGGGTTCCTGGCTACAGTTCTTGTCTTCCGACCCAGCTGCCTCCCCCCCACAGCTGCCACCCCCGGCAATGCGAGTATGGACACAGCCTGCGCATCTGGGTTCTCGCCCCCACAAGTGGCTTTGCAGCCAACCAGCCCACCCCAGCCAGTAGCCACAACTTCCCAACACACGGAGCCTACACCAGGGCCCAGCATCAAGTTCTCTGTCCCACTTCTGACGGGCCCTAGCCCCCCAGCTGAGGGGATCCGCACCGGCAGTGTCTCTCTTCCCGTGGGTAAGTCATGAAGGGTTTCCTGCCCTACCCCACCCCCCGCATGGTCTTCCCCAGAGCCATGGGGCTGGACCCTGCATCCTTGTGCTGGGATCCAAGTGCCAATGACACTGGCCTCACCCCGAGGCTAGGCACTGGCACTGCAGTCCTCGGTGGGCGGAGATGAGGCCACAATTTGGCCTAAGGTGGAAACAGTGCCCAGGACACCGTTTCTGGTGTATCCAATTGGTCAAGGAGATGGCAGGTTCGTTTGGCCAGGTTCCTTCCTGGGCTCCCCTGTCAAGCCAGGGGTCTCAAACTGGTGGCTCTTGGACTCAGCCTGGCTCACTGAGATGTCTTCTTGACAGTGGGATGTAAGATCCCCCTGGCTTGGTCTTGCCCCTCAACAGTGATAACTCCGGCCACCTTGGGTCTCACACCGGAGCACTCAAGCTTGCTTTGTGCCTCAGTTTGAGTCACTCTCTCAGAGCACAGGACCAGTCTGTCCCTGTGGCTCAGATTCTTCAGCTGAGTCCTCAACTGAGCAGTTTGTCATGTTGGGAACAAAGTTGGTCTTGCTGCTGTTACGGGAGCTTCAGCCCCAGCCATGCTGCGCTGTGCCATTGCCATGGCCAAGTGTGCAGACTCTCCCGTCTCGGCCATTGCCCATGAGCAGACAAAAATCTGTTTTAGCTCCCAAATCCACGCCCTGGCAAGGCAAACATGGGGTTTGGACATCATGGGTCCTGCCCACCCCCGGCTCCTGGAGTTTTGGAAATGGTACTTTACAGCTCATGTTTACTGCACATTTCAGAATAATTTCATTAAGAAAAGATTTATTTATTTATTATTGGAAAGTCAGATTTACAGAGAGTAGGAGAGTCAGAGAGAAAGATCTTCCATCTGCTGCTGGTTTACTCCCTCCCCAAGTAGCTGCAACAGCCAGAGCTGAGCTGATCCGAAACAGGAGCCAGGGGTTTGTTCTGGGTATTCCACTTGGGTGCAGGGTCCCAAGCCTTTGGGCCGTCCTTGACTGCTCTCCCAGGCCACAAGCAGAGAGCTGGATGGGAAGTGGAGCATCTGGGACACACGCCAGTGCCCTTATGGGATCCTCGCATACACAAGGGGAAGACGGCAGCCACTAGGCTACTGTGGCAGGCTCTCAGAATAATTTCTTAAGCAGTGTGCGGCTTTGGCTTAGGGCTGTGGCGGATGGTTGAGTTCAAGGACGGTCCTCCTGGAGCCTCCTGTTTTCTTTTCTAGGACTGATTGTGGGTGTGACAGTCTTCTGCCTGCTCATTATAGGACTGGTGAATGTTGTCATCCTGTCACAGAAAAAAAGTGAGACCCCAGGCCTTCCTGCTTGCCTTTAGGAACCTTCTCTGGGCATGTGCTGGGCATTCAGCTGTGGGCATGGTCTTACAGGCTGTGCAGAGCATACCTGCTCCATAGGAGCTGGGGTCTGGGTGAAAGGCACTTCTGCCAGCTGAGCAGGGCTCATCTTGGAGGGTCAGGGTTCCTGTCTGGGGAGCCGGGGTGGGGGAGGGAGACTCGGGCCTCCTGGAGCAGGTAGCCTCCAACAGGTGGGCGTATAGGAAAGAAAGGGCCCACATAGCGTAAGAGAAAGCCGAGTCAGCAGAGAGCAGGGGAACGGCTGGTGGGGACCCAGCGGGGGCCCAGCTTGGCAGTTGGATGTGGGCTTCTGTGGGCGTCGCCTGGCAGGTACCTGTGTACCCAGGGCCGGGCTGACCCCACTGCCTCTGCACGGGCCCCTCACTGCCCTCCTCGATACAGCAGCGGGGGCCCAGGGGATCCCCCTCCCTGACTTGCCCCTCTGTCTCCTCTGTAGAGAAGCTGTCCTGCCTGCAGAGAGAAGCCAAGGTGGTGAGTGTCCCCATGCCCCATCCCCCTCCTCCCCTGGGCTCCTGCTTGGTGAGCTGGATCGACCCACGGGAAGTGATGACTTCTGCAGGCCAGGCCTGGGAGGCAGGGGTGATGCAACCCTTTGTGGACCAGAGGCAGTGGTGGGAGTGAAATGTCAGGGGGGAGAGAGCAGGGGACTGAGTGGCATGATGTTGCTTGTGGCTCCTTTTCATCCCCATCAAGTGGGACTCGGGTCACCTCACCCTGCTGCCCATGCTCCCTGCTTCCTCCACCCCTGCTGGCTTTGCAGAGCACCCATCTGCAGACCAGGTTCTGGGATCCCCTGGCACTCCACAGAGGGCTCTGGGCAGTCCTCTCTGGGCTGCGAGGTGTAGCCTGCAGGGCTGGTCGCTAGGTCCTGCCCCCACTTCCACAGAAACAGCTCACCTTTGCTTTCGGCTACGATGTAGGGACCACACAGGAATTTCTTGGAGACACTGGTGCCACATCCTGCTAGCGGGGGTCCTTCTGTGGACCCAGTAAGACTCCTGCTGTGTTGGCCTTTGCTCTTTTGCTTGTATTCTAAGAGGATAACCTGACTTCATGGTGTGGACTCCAGGATGGACGTGGGAGGAAGGGGGTAGGGGGTCTGCCACGGTGCCTTTGTCAGTGCACCAGACGCGCTCCTGGGGGCCTGGGTGGCTGGCTTTCACCTCCTGGCCAGGACCGTGGCCTCTGCACAGCTAGCTCAAGGGCAGCTGAGAAGAGGGTCACGCAGGTCTCCCAGGTTTGTTTTCCCTTCTGTCACTTTTCCACGAGAGGAAATCATCTGAATTTCCACGACCCCAAGAGAGTTTTCTCAGGCCCTAGACGGCGCAGTTAGATGGCTGATTGTTTTGAGGGGCTTGCCCCTGCAATGTGGCTGCTGCTCTGAAACATCCCCGGCCCCCATTCCCAGGGTAGCGCCTGCACACCAGTAGTGACAACCACAGTGTTCCCTTGGGGGACAGCCCCTGTGCTGGGAGAAAGCTCAGCTCCTGGGGGGCCCGGAGTCAGATGGGCTGTTTTTCTGACAAGATGCGAGGTGCAGAAAGGCTAAGTGTCTGGTCCTAGGTCGCACAGCATGTGGCTCTGGAATGCCAGCCCAATGTTCTTGTCCTGCCCTGTGCATTTCCAGTGGCGGCAGCAGTGCCAGTAGCTGCCTGGTGGCATGCCTGGTGGGTGAATGTCCACTCTGAGGCCCGCTGCAGAGCCCAGCTACTGCCTTCGCTCCTCCCCTGACCGGGTGCCGCTTGGTGCCAGGTGTGCAGCCATGGTGGGGGTGTGGCCGTGGCCTCCCCTCTCCCTTCACTGTAGTCACCGAGTGTTGGTAGACCCAGCTGAGCACTGCAGTGGGCAAAAGCCAAGCCCTGCTCTGTACGGCGGGGTGGCGCCTTGGAGAGGCAGACATGCCCCCAACCCACCCCGGGGCCAGTTCAGGTCCCCGCGGCCTGCTTGGATATTGAGTTGGAAGCCCGAATCTTGGTCACTAAACCCTCAGGTGTTTCGAGAGAGTGGGGGGCGGAGAGCAGGAGGGGGGCTCCAGCACCCCCTTTCCACATAGGAAGAGCAGGAACTCTGCAGTGGCCCGAGTGTAGTGCCTGCCGTTTCCTGCTGTCCCCTTTGCAGGCGTCCCTGCTCTCTCTTTTCTTTCTCGGGTCCAGTGGCTACCTGGAGCCCCAGAGTAAGGCCTTGAGCACCTGTGAGGTCAGGGTGGGCAGTCAGCAGCTCTGGGGGAGGATGGGGAGGGCATCTCCAGGTACTCCCAGGATAGGACATGGGGACCTGCCTTGAGTCATCAGAGCAGGTTCTAAGACACGCAGAGAAGGTTCGGAGCCCAGCTGCACCACATCCTAGCTGTGACCTTGGAGCGACCTTGGGCGAGTAAGCCAGCATCGCCCTCCTTTGGCCTCAGCATCTACAAAGCCAGGAAGACACTGGGCAGCCAGGGGAGCTTTTTGATACAGTGTCTGAGCAAAGAACTTGGCATTGGGAGGCACTGTGTCAGTGCTGCTGATGGTGGTGGTGTTTTGGGTGGAAATGGCGTTGGGAGGGCAGCCTTCGGCGATGGCTTGGAGAGGGGAGCTGAGGCCTGCACAGGTACGGCCCCAGGTGCGTGGCCCCCCGCCTGGGCTGGCTGAGCCCAGCACTGGTCACACACGCGTCCTGCAGAGGATTGCAGGTCTCTGGAACTTCTGCTTGAGCCTGACACATAGTAGGACAGCAGAGAGAACCCATGCCCAAGTGAGTACAGATGGATTCCAGCAGTGATGTCTTCATGAACATGGAAATTTAACTCACATAACTTCCTGGGCCACAAAAGTGTATTCTTTTCAAAATAGTTTTCCAAACGCTAAAAAAAAAAAAAACCATGAATGCTGTCCTTAGCTCGCAGTCTGTACAAAAATAGTTGGCGACTGCGTTGGCCTGTGGGTGGCGCTTTGCACACTTTTCTTTTTTCTTTCTTTCTCCCTTCCTTCCTTCCTTCCTTCCTTGCTTTCATTCTTTCTTTCTTTCTTCCTTCCTTTCTTTCTTTTTTAACATTTATTTATGGACTTGAAAAGCACAGCAACATAGAAAGAGGGAGTAGGAGAGAGCTTGTCCATCTGCGGGTTCACTCTCCAAATGGCTGCAGCGGCCAGAGCTGGGTGAAGCCAAAGCCAGGAGGAGACCGCAAGTCCCCCTGGGTGACCCTCATGGATAGTGACACCCAGGGTGACAGTCACTTGGGCCGTCTTCCACTGCTTTCCTGGGTGCATGAGTAGGGAGTTAGATTGGAAGTGGAGCAGCCAGGACTGGGCTCTTGGCCTTGCAGGCTGTGGGTTAACGTGCAGTGCCACAACCCAAGGCTGGCTTTGCCTACCTCACATTCAACAAACTCTTCTGTCGCACTTACTGCATCTTATAAAACTTGTAAACTTCAGCTGTGTGATCTTCCCAATCACCCCAGAAGCAGGCTTTTCTCCTTTTACAAAAGAGAAACAAAGGTACAGGGAGGCACGTCCTGGGCTACACAGCCAGTAAGGGGTAACGTCATACCTATGGCCTGGGGCCAGAGTCTGGGCTCTGGGCAGCTATGCTGGGTTGCGTCCCCCTGTGCTGATGGGATGACCTCGCATTGAAAGTGACTCTCCTTGCACTTGCAAAATGGGGCTGCAAACCCTGCCCCATTTCTCCTGGACTCTCGTTCCCATCAGGCAGTGAGGTGCAAATAATAGAAGCAAAGAAACCACTGAGAATCACACCTCTAGAAGCGAGCTGTGTGTAGAAAGAACGTGCAGGTGTCGGCTGAAGCGTCCTGGAAATGGTGCTGTCAGCAGTAGGGCAGGCAGGGCTGGGGGTGGGGCTGAGGAGCTGGCTGCTGGACTGACTTTGCTCTCTGTGTCGCCTCCTGCCTCCCCTAGCCTCACGTGCCTGCTGACAAGGCCAGGGGTGAGCCCGGCCTGGAGCAGCAGCACCTGCTGACCACGGCGCCCAGCTCCAGCAGCAGCTCCCTGGAGAGTTCCGCCAGCGCTACAGACAGGAGGACGCCCACCAGGAGCCAGCCCCCGATGCCGAGTGTGGACAAGGCCCCTGGGTCCAGGGAGGCCCAGGCCAGCTGCAGGAGCTCCGGTGAGAAGCGGGAGTGGGCCTGGTGTTCTTCCTTGCCCCTTTGTACACTTGGGTTGGGGTCGTGTGCTGATCATGTGATTATAAGCAGAAAATACTGAGGATGCAAAATGCATGCAGTCCCTGACCTACCTCCTGTGCACCTCTGGCTTAGCAACACACGTCCTGTAGCACCTGCTTGTTTCCCTGGGGACTGTGGTGCTGACTGGCAGGCCAGGGCCGGCAGGCCTGTGAGACACAAAAGCTAACTCCAGCATGGTCGGTGGGAACTTGAATGCATGTGACTTTGGTGTGGTTGGGAAGTCAGGGACCATCTGGGCTCGCTGCCTGGCATCTGCCGTAGGTATCTCCTGCAGCTGGAGCTCCCAGTGGCATGCCAGGTCTTTGCGTGCTCAGCAGGCCTAGCTGCTACCCCCGCTCCAGTTCCGTGGAACCGTGTGGAGCTTCTTTTGCTCACTGAACCCCCAGGGTTCTCTGCACCCCCTCCTTCCTGGACCCCTGCCTTTGCCGGTGCTGGTCTATGTACCTGGAATACCCTTCCATCTACTGCACCATCAGCTCGCGGTCCTCAGGCCCCAGTGGCCTGCTGGGGACAGTTCCTGAATCTTCCTCCCCATGGTTTCCTCCCACGGCTACCCAGGCTTCTGCAGGCTCCATGGCCTTGCTTCTCTTCCATAGGATTGTCAGACTGTAGAGGCTTCTCTGTCCTTTCTGCTGTCCCTCAGCCGCCCTGGGGACCCCTGTGAGCCTGTACCCACAGCCCTGCACACCCACAGCCCTGCACACCCACAGCCCTGCACACCCACAGCCCTGCATACCCACAGCCCTGCACTTAGCCACTGACTACAACAATAAAAATAGTGATGGTGTGTGGTGCATCGGGCACTGCGACTGGGCCCTTTCTGGGGACAAAATCACCCTGCCCTCCAGTGCTGAAGATCGGTACTGTCGCTATCCCCACTGCACAGAGACAGAAACTGATGCCCCTGGAGGCTAACTCCCATCGTGGATATAGAGGTGGGAGATGAGGAGCCGGACTGGCCCCTGACTGCTGGGTCACCAAGGAGAAATGGGTTCTGTTCCCTGCAGCCTGCTGAGGGGAGGGTGGAGAGGGGACGGGGGTCTCTGGGTCCCAGGCTGCAGGCTGATGAGCACCTGCATGTGCCACAGGCTGCCTTGGGCTCTGCACCTCATCTGTGACAGGTGTCACCTCTGGCTGGCAGCTCTAATGCCTGCCTGGGAGAAGGCCTCTGTATGGGTCCTCCAGAAGGCACAAAGCAGTGACTGTGACCCTGGCTCATTCCTGATCCCCCTGCTCAGCTGCTCTGGTGCGGCTTTTCCTGTCTTTTTTTTTAAGATGACATTTATTTGAAAGGCAGAATGTTGGGGGAGAGAGAGAGCAACGCCCCCCCATCTGCTGCTTGACCCCCTCAATTGTCCCAGTGGTTGAGAGTCGGCAGCTTCTTCCAGTTCACCCACCTTGGTGCAGGGGCCCCAGCACTTGGACCAGCCTCTGCTGCTCTCCTAGGCCATTAGCATGGAGATGGATTGGAAGTGGGGCAGCCAGGACTCGAACCATAGAGGTATGGGATGCCAGGACTGCAAGTAACACGCTGTGCCATGGCACCAGTGCCCCGAACAAACTTCTTCGCCCTGCTGAGCTGTGGTTTCTTCAATGAGAGATGAGCTGCACGGCCCCTCCCTGCAGGGTGTGAGCCAGGAGTCCTGCCTGGCACCAGAGTGGCACCAGGCTGCTGCCTCCAGGCTGGGACTGACAGCTGCAGCCGCCCCGCCTACTCCCACACCTCCCCGTCTGCCTGTGGCAGCTCCCCACCCCCCACCCCTGGTACCTGACTGCCCGCGTGCCTGACGTACCCGCCTGATTCCCCCTTCATTGATGTCCGAGGGACAACCTGGGCCAGTGCTTGGAACAATGCAGGTGGCCCTAATTGTGGGCTAAATGACCACGTTCAGACCGCGAGCTCTTGGTCTTGGCATTGCCCTTTGGATCCCTGCACTTGGCTTTAGCCAGAAGGCTGAGAAATGATTGCCCTTGGGTTTTCTTAGCTGACTTCCTGTGGCTTCCTCCTTGGGCCCCCGAGAAGACCCTGACTCCGACTGCCCCTCCTCTGCCCCTTCCCCCATGCCTTCTCCCCTCTCCTCCCCCTCCCCCACTGTTCCCCACCTGTCTTCTGGCCTCTGCTCTCTCCTCCTCTCGCCCCCACCCCTCACACCTCTGTCTCGGTTGGGGTCGTGTCAACCCCAGAGCTGTGCCCTTTATGGTGCCCCAGCCGCCCCCACAGTGTCTCTTCCACCCAGGGTAAAGGCCACGGCGACCTTTGGGTGCACTGGAGGCTCAGGGTGGAGGTTTCTTTCCAGCCTTAACATTTGTTGCAGCTTCCTCCAGGGCGCTCGCCAGCACTGCCCTCCTCCCCCAGCTTCCTGGACTCAGCGGGAGGACTGGCTGCCCCCGAGTCTGGACCCCCAGCCACTCCCTGAAGTGGATCCTGCAGCAGCTCACATTGTGTGTGGCGCTGCATGCCACACCCCCTCACCCACTTCCTGGTGACACTGTCATCTGATTTCTCATGGCAACAAAGAAAACACGGGGTGCACGGCTGGGCTGCCCGCTCAAGTCCTTCCCACCAACTCTAATAGATGCGTGCCCACCACAGCCAGGTTCCCCTGCACCTGGCTCCCAAAGCAGGCCATACATTCAGGTTTGTTTTTAAAGATTTATTTCTTTTTAGTGGAAAGACTTACAGAGAGAAGGAGAAACAGAAAGATCTTCCATCCAGTGATTCACTGCCCAAGTGGCTGCAACAGTCATGGCTGAGCAGATCCAAAGCCAGGAGCCAGGAGCTTCTCCTGGGTCTCCCACATGTGCACAGGGTCGCAAAGACTTGGGCCATCCTCCATGCTTTCCCAGGGCATAAGCTGGGAGCTGGATGGGAAGTGGAGCAGCCGGGACTCAAACCTGAGCCCATATGGGATCCTGGCACCTGCCAAGGGAGGATTAGTTAATTGAGGCATTGCATCAGGCTATTGGATTTTAAGTGTTGGCAGCCAATTTGCTTAAATCCTCCTGCGTTTGCAGGAACTAAGCCTTCCTGGGTGCATAATTTGATCCACGTCACACATGTCCCTGTTAGGGGCAGTGGGAACACAGTGAAGGACAAGCAGAAAGTTGTCACCTTCCTGGGCCAGCATCTGGTGGACAGGCCACAAATATGTGACCCAGCAGCCAGAGGCCCTGGAGTTCCCAGAGGTGGGCAGGGTCCCCTGAGTGATGGGTGGACAGTCTGAACGGGGAAGCCAGGGGGGCTTTGTGGAGGCAGGAGCTCCGAACAGAGTAAGCTGTGTTGGGAAGGGACAAGCTCCCCAGGTGGAGGGAACAGATGGAACATGCAAAGGGCCTTGCCAAACCAAGGTGGCACAGAAAGCACAGCTGGGCCACCCTCCCTTCTGTCCTCTGTCCCCTGGCCCGTCCTCTGTCCCTTGGACCAGGGTTCTTTCCCATATTTTTTTTTTTAAATTAAGAGATTTACTTATTTATTTGAGAGGCAGAGTGATATAGAGAAAGGATGAGACAGAAAGAGAGAGTTCTTTTATTAGCTGGTTCACTTTTGTGGCTGGTTCACAGCAGCGAGGGCTGGGCCAGGCTGATGCCAGATGCCAGAAATTCCTTCTGGATTTCCCATATGGGTGGCGGGGCCCCAAGCCCTTGGGCGATCTTCTGCTGCCTTTCCAGAAGCCTTAGCAGGGAGCTGAGCTGGGAGCAGAGCAGCTGGCCTTTGAACCAGCACTTTGCTATGGGATGCTGGCATCTCAAGTGCCAGGAAACTGGTCCTTTTGTCATGTGCTTTAGTCTGACACCCCTCTGCATCAATCTCCCTTGGTCTTGTGCCAACAGAGCCCGCCCCCGGAGGCCCTGGCGGCCCCGGCACCCAGGTCAACGTCACGTGCATTGTCAATGTCTACAGCAGCTCCGACCCTGGCTCGCCCTGCTCCTCCCCGGCTGGGCCCGCCATGGAGGACACAGATGGCAGCCCTTCGGGCCTCTCCATGGATGATGAACAGGTGCCCTTCTCCAAGGAAGAGAGCCCCTTCGAGTCCCACCCGGGGCCCCCCGAGACTGCTCTGCAGAACCCCAAGAAATCTCTACCCCTCGGTGTGCCTGACGATGGCCTGAAGCCCAGCTAACCAGGCTGGTACAGGACGTGTCACAGCCGAGGTGGGCTAGCCCAGCGGATGGACAGCCCCGGGGCCAGTCCCTGCTTCACTGTGGCCTGCTCCGGGCTGGACCTTCAAACTCAGCTTTTGTGGTAGGTTTGCTCACTGCTGGGCCCTGACCTGGCTCCGGCGCCCAGGCGGTCCTCTGCGGCCGCTGGCTGGGGCGGAGGAATGACTCATCCACAAGAAAGGGCCACACTTCCGCGCGGTGCCGGCAGCGGCCGTCTTAGCGGACAGTGGGCCTCAGATCAGCTCAGGCCGCTGGCAGGCGCCACCTCTACCTCCAGTCCCCAGGCCAGCTGCTGCTGACTGCAAGTTGTCCGACAGTGACGGGTGGGGACTAAACACCCAAGCATGTGCCAGGCAGTGCCTGAGCCACCCGCACCAGGGCCCTCTGGCTTTAACCTTCACTTCAGCGTAGCCCTGGTACCAGCGCCTCCCCTCTCACTGTCCAGCGAGCCCGTTCAACGCCTCACTTTTTGCCTGTCAAGGAATTCCAGGACCCCGTGGTGGTCGGAGGCCCCCAGCCATCTCTCCCCTCCTACCTCAGCCTGAAGCCCCTTCCTGCCTCTGGGGGGTGGGGATGACCCTCCTTATCCCAACACCCCAGCCCAGGGGGGCTGGAGCCACTGTGGTGCCTGCCTGCCATGATCTTGATAGACGCCAGGGGCTGCCAGCCAGCCCTGTGCCTACGTCTGTGTCCCCGGTCTATGGTGGCCACTCAGAGGCAGCTGGAGCCAGTAGTTTCACAAGGGAGTCACGGTTCCCTCCCCACCAGCAAAGGTGCCAGGGTCCCGCAGGGATGAATAGAAATGGCCTTGACCAACAGGGAAGCAGCTTGCAGGGTGGGGGGTTCAGCTCCGTCTCAGGTACTTGAGTCCCTTGTTGACAAATTCTGCTGGACTTGAACTTGGCCGCTGAACTGTTGGAAGCTAGGAGAGCCAAGCCATCACCATGGAGACAAGAAAAGTTTTCCACACGGGAAAGAAGTCAGAGCGGACATCTCTGCCCATCGTTGACCCTCCGCGGCGGTGGAGCTCGCCTGCCCCCTGGTGGACAGTCCTGGAAGAGCCGCAGGCTTCCTGGGCTTGGCTGAGCAGAGCTGGGAGCCCCGGAATCCGAAGGAGACTGCTGGGGGGCCTCAGTTTCCGAGGCTTGGGTGAGAGTTTGCACTGCATGCTTATGAATAAAACTCGGTTTGTTTTACGTGCGGATCTCTGGTGTTGGCTGGGGTCGGCCCAGGGTCCTGCTGGCCTGCTGCCGGGTGTGTTCTGGCCACTGCATGCTTGGACCCCTCCAGGGTGCCCCCATTGCAGCTGCCTTTGATGAGAGCCTGCACCCTTCCGGGCCTTCCTGCTGGCTCCACCCAGCTGGTCCCCCACTGCACTCTGACCTGCCGCCATCTCAGGCCTTCACCTGCTAGGTCTCCTCAGCCTGTTGTTGAGATTGGGGTGAGGGGGGTCTTTGCAATTGTGCTGTTTTTTGGGTTTTTTTTGAAAAAGGGGAGATTAATTTATTTTTACTTGAGAGGCAATCAGAAGGTAAGAAAGTTCTCTTTCATCTGCTGATGCTCTCCCCCATGGCCACAATGGCTGGATCGGGGCCAGGCTGAAGCTGAGAGCCAGGAACTCTGAGTGCTGGCAGAGGGCCGAGCACTCAGGCCGTTGTGCGCTGCCTTCCCAGGAGCACCAGCAAGGAGGGGTCGGAAATGGAGCAGCTGGGACTCCAACAATGCTCGCGTGGGATGCTGGCGCCACGGTCTGCAGCTTAACCCACCTCTCTACAAGCAGCTCACTCTTCACTCAGAGCCAGCACAGGGCTTTGGGAGCACAGAGGAGGGCCTGGGACTCAGTGAGAGGCGGGCAGGGCCATGAGGATGACACTGTTGCGTCTGGAAGGATAAGAAGGTCAAGGGTGCTGAGTTTAGATCCTGGCATTAGTTAGAGCTGTGGCCCATGGAGTCACTGAGTGGACCCCTGGCCATCCTGCCCCCTCTGCCAGCTCACTGGCACCCCCTCAGAATGGCTGGCGCTGTTCTTTGTGATCTCAGCATCTTGGCGGTTAGGGGGGCGGACCCCGGACCTCCTTCTCCCTTCCAGTACCCCTCCCCACCAACCTCCACTCAGCCACTCACACCCAGACCAGGGCTTGGGAAACTCCAGTTGGGAAAAAAGCCAGGGACTCTGCATGCTGGCTCAATTGGCTAATCCTCATCCTGCAAGCTCCAGGATTCTATACCAAGATTCAAGTCTTGGCTGCTCCACTTCAATTCAGCCCTCTGCTTGTGGCCTGGGAAATCAGCAGAGGTTGGCCCAAGGCCTTGGGACCCTGCACCCACGTGGGTAACCCAGAAGAAGCTCCTGGCTCCTGACTTTGGATCAGCTTTGCTCTAACCGTTGTGGTCGTTTGGGGAGTGCACCAGTGGGTGAAAGATCTTTCTGTTTTTCCTTCGCTCTGTAAACCTGCCTTTCCAATAAAAATAAAATGAAATCTTAAAAATAAAAATAAAAAAGGAAGAGAGCCTGGTGCAGTAGCTTACTGACTAAAGTCCTTGCTTTGCCTGCGCCAGGATCCCATATTGGTGCCAGTTGCCCATATGGGTGCCGGTTCTAATCCCAGCTACTCCACTTCCCATCCAGCTCCCTGCTTGTGGTCTGGAAAAGCAGCAGAGGATGGCCCAGAGCCTTGGGACCCTGCACCCGTGTGGGAGACCTGGAAGAGGCTCCTGGCTCCTGGTTTCAAATCAGCTCAGCTCCAGCCATTGCAGCCATTTGGGGAGTGAACCAGTGGGTGGAAGATCTTTCTCTCTGTTTCTCCTTCTCTCTGTAAATCTGACTTTCAATAAAAATAATAAATACATCTTTAAGAAAGAAAAAGGAAGGAAAAAAAAAAGCTGGGAGTAGATGATTTCAACTTAGCCAGCCTTACCACCTTTGTGCTGGCCTGTTTTTTGTTGCTGTCACTGTCACAAACCAGGGTGGCTCATAAACCAAACATGGTCATTTGCTGCAGTGTTGGTGGCCTGGAGGTCAAAGGTCAGAGGATGGAGTCTGGTGGAAGGGGGATCTGTCCTTGGCCAAGGACAAGCCTGGGGCAGCTCGGACAGCTCTCTGCAAAGAGTGTATTGACTATTTCTTTAACAGGCAGAATGACAGACACCGTGTCTCTGCTGGTTCACTCCCCCAAGTCCCCCAGTAGTCAGGGCTGGGCTGAGACCAGAGCCCACGGGCTGGGCCTCACCCAGCTCCAGCCATTGGACACCATTTGGAGAATAGATGTACAGACGGGAAAATCTTTCTCTGTCTCTCTCTTTTTGTAACTCTGCTTTTCAGATAAATAAAACAGTGAAACACTGAATGACCCTCTGACCCTGCCATTCCACTGCTGGGGCTCTCCATAGGAGAATGGAATATTTGTATACCAGGGCTTGCTGCATCACCGCAGAAACTTAGCAGATGAACGCATGAGCAAAACGCGGTCGGCCCCTGCGGTACGCTGACATGATCTCCCCGCTTGGGAAGGGAGTTGGGATGTGTTACAGCATGAATGGACCTTGAGGACAGTCTGCCAAGGGACGCAGGAGGTTCAGTGCTGCCTGAGTGCGAGCCACAGCAGCCAGGCTCACAGCCAGACGGCAGCGTGGGTCTGGCCAGCAGCCTGCGGGGGGAGAGGCCAGGAGCTGTTGTTTTATGGGGACACTGTGGCCGTGGGCAAGATGAAAGGCGCTCTGGAGGTGGGTGGGGGTGACGGTTGCACCACAGCATGAAGGTACACGGTGCACAAAGCTGAGCCTTGGGAAATGGCTAAGACAGTAGATTCCGGGTCATATGCATGTCACCAGCTCACAAGGACGGCCACAACCCGCCCCTTGCATTCAGTTCTCCCTTCAGATGCTGTTGAAGTCATTGGCTAGTCTTCCCCCCAAACACCTGGGAAACCCTGTGATTTCAAGCTCTTGGTCAGCAGCTCTTGCGCCTCACGGGGCACCCCTAACCTTCACCCTGATCTTCACACTGATCAAGTTGTGGTTGCTTGCGTTATTCTCCTGCCGCTGGCCCCTGACCCAGCAACCACGCTCCTCCTTGAAGCTCCTGCCCCGAAGGGGCTCCCAGGAGCCGCTCGCTGCCTGGCTTCTCCCACCCTCCTGGGGGCTCCTGGGGCTGGGTCCTCCCTGCTTGGCCCACGTCCAGGGTTGGAGGGACTGCCTTTTCTCTGCTCGCTTGGGATTGCTTCCTGCTTGAGGGCTTCATTGTCATTTTTTAAGTTTTGTCTTAGGGTGTGGCATTGGTGGCCCCACAGGCTAACCCTCTGCCCTGTAGCGCCAGCATCCCGTATGAGCACCGGTTTGAGTCCCTGCTGCTCCGCTTCCCATTCAGCGCTCTCCTTCTGGCCTGGGGAAGCTGCAGGTGGCGGCCCAAGTGCGTGGACTTTTATATCCATGTAGGAGACCTGGAAAAAGCTCCTGGCTCCTAGCTTCAGATCAGCTAGCTCTGGCTATTGTGATCATTTGAGAGGTGAATCCATGGATGAAAGATTTCTCTGTTTCTCCTCTCTCTCTCTCTAAAGATCTGATTTTCAAATAGAAATAAATATTTTTTAAAGTGTCTATTTAAAAAGCAGAGTTGATAGCAAGGGAGAGACAGAGACAGAGACCCCCTAAATGGCCACAGCGGAAGCCGGCATCCAGAAACTCCATGCTGGTCTCTCCCAGGAGTGGCAAGAGCCCACGCAGTGGGACCGTCTTCTGCTGCCTTTCCAGGCGTGTTAGGAGGGAGCCGGATGGGAGGCAGAGCCAGACTTGGAGCAGCACTCATGTGGGATGCTGGCATTACGAGGGGAGGCTTCACCCGCTGTCCCACAACACAGGTCGGCCACTTCGGGGCTCTGAGCATTCCTTGGCAACTCTTGACATTTGAGTGCAACCTGATTCTCCTGCTTTTGGTTCTTAGTAGGTGCTGGGAGCCAGCAGCTGCTGTAAGAAAGCAGGTGGAGTGGTGGCGAGAAAGGAAGCAGATTCTACCAGGTGTGACCCAGAGGACAGAGGGACGGATGCCCCTTCCAGCAGGAGATCAGGGCAGCTGTAGAGACACAATGGCAGCACAAGTTGCCCCCGGGCCACTGGCAGAACAGCTGGGCATAGCGACAGGGAAGTAGGGTGGCCCCAGTGCTGCCAGGGTGGGACTACAGGGAGGAAACTCCCCCAAGCAGAGCCAGGAAGGACCCTCTAGGGAGTGCATGGTGACAGAGGGGCAGCTGACCTGGGGGCAAGGGTGGTCCCTGCTGAAGCCCCTTGCACTGGCTGTATCAGGGTCAGAGCAGGGTGGTAACTGGGAGGGCAAGCGGGTGGCAGAGAGACCAGTGATGTGCCAGCTTGTCTCCATCCTGCCCTGACACTTCCTCTCTGCCAGCTGCGGGCCATGGTAACTGCCTTCTGTCTGTGGCTTCCCTGCTGGGCAGGGAGCAGATGCGACGGTGCCTCTTTATTCTTTGGCTGCTTCTTCCACAGGGTGTGGTGCGTCACCTGCGTGCTTGGCCTGAGGGAACCGTCCTATGACCTGAATCCGGGCTTGCTGCTGCACAAGGCTGGCTCCCGAGCTGAGGATGTGGGGGAGGCACCTGATCCTTCAGCGTGTCGGGGGCAGGCCTGGAGTGCAGCCATAGTCTGTGGGAGTTGCCGCAGCCCCTCCGGCTAGGACAAAGCCGGTGGCGGTTTAGACTTCCTTTTCAGCCAGTTCCCATTAATTTCTTATCATGAAGGAGCAGGCGGACAGAGTAGCACAGAGGTCAAGAGCAGTGGGTTTTGGAAGTCACCCTGCCTGGGAGTGAGACTGGCTGTACCACTTCCTGTCCGGGTGACCCCAGGCCAGTGAATGGCCTCCATGCTACTGCCTTCTTATCTGTAAAAGGAGGCTAGAATAATAGCTCTGTTGGCAGGCAGGTGTTCACGCTACCTCCTGGTGATGCAGGCCTGGCACATGGGCACTGCTCAGCACTGTGGGCTGCTGGAGAACAACAAAGGCCAAGCAGTACCTGGGCACAAGGGATAGACAGCCAGGAGGGGCTAAGCAAACCCCCCCAGGCAGGGATATGCTCAGAAGTACAAAGCAAGGCCTGGCGAGGTAGCCTAGTGGTTGAAATCCTCTCCTGGCTTGCGCAGGGATCCCATATGGGTGCCGGTTCGTATCCCAACTGCTCTACTTCCCATCCAGCTCCCTGCTTGTGACCTGGGAAAGCAGTGGAGGACGGCCCAAAGTTTTGGGACCCTGCACCCGTGTGGGAGACCTGGAAGAAGCTCCTGGCTCCTGGCTTCGGACCCGCTCAGCTGCAGCCATTGCAACCACTTGGGGAATGAATCAACAAACAGATCTTCCTGTCTGTCTCTCCTGCTCTCTCAAGACCTGACTTTCCAATTATACACATACAGACATACATATATACATGCAAAGCAATGTGAGTGGACAGGGTGGATGTGCTCCTGGGGTGGAGGTGGGTTGAAGAGGGCTTCCTGGAGGTGCTAGCCATGGAGCAGATGCCTTAGTGAAAGGAACACAGGGCAGCCCTGAGGCTCAGGGTGGGACAGGATGTGGATCAGCATGCTTGGAGGGGTCCCAGCCAGAGCCAGGGGTGTGGGAAGCCCTAGTCCTGAGCGGGCGGGCTTTGCTTAGTCTGGCAGTTGAGAAATTGAACTTGCATAACTTCATCTGCGCAACTGCCTCAGGAGATAGGCAAGGAGCCCGCTATCCCACTGGACGGGGTGGGCCAGGGGGCGGGGTGAGCAACCTGAGTGATGCTTATCTGAACTGCCAGGTGCACAGTGGACTTGCTGTTGTTGACAACCAGCTCTTAAGCCAGGCCTAGGCTTCCAAGACCTCTCTCTATGGACTTCTGAGGTCCCCCTGGAGTTCCCCCATGCAGAAGCCAGCAGTGACAGCGGCATCCCCAACTGGGGGAGGGGGGCGATGAGGGGCTAAGGCCGCAGGGTATAAGCCCAGGAAAACTGATGCTAACATGCGGCAGCGTCAGGCCCTCTCGGCAAGTCTGGCTCTCTGATTGGGAGTTGAAGGGCTGACTCGGAGCTGCAGCCTCTTCTTTGTCTTGTCCCACCATCCCCTCCAGGTGACAGGATTACTCCCCTGTCCTGGGAGATGCTCGGACCTGGACTTCCCAGTATGGTAGCCACCAAGCACTGGCCACGGCTGAGCTCCTGCCATCGGCTAGGCCACCTAGAGCTGAATCTAAGCACAGCATACCTGGTAAGGAAGGCTTAACACAATAAAACCTACATGTCCCCTGGGAGCCGTGGGGAGTTCTTTCTTAGAGATTTATTTGTTTATTTCGAAAGGCAGATTAACAGAGAGAAGGAGACACAGGGAGAAGATCTTCCAGGAATTCCTTCCAGGTTTCCCAGGCGGGTGCAGTGGCCCAAGGCCCCAAAGCACCCTCTGCTGCCCAGGTCACAAGCAGGGAGCTGGATGGGAAGTGGAGCAGCCAGAATTAGAACCAGTGCCAACACGGGATGCTGGCACCACAGGCAGAGGATTAGTCTGGTGAGCCACCTGTGCCGGTACCTGGAGGATTGCTTCTCAAGTACCCCCTGCCGGAAGCCCCTCACCCCTGGAAGGACAGCAGAATCCATGGGTGATCAAATCGCCTCTAAAAAATAAGGACTATTCTCATATATCCATGAGCCCCTTCCTTTATACTTCATTTGGAATTTTTTTAAAAAGATTTTATTTGTTTATCTGAAAGGCAGAGTGACATAAAGCAAGGGAAAGAGAGAAGGGGAAAAAAAAAAGCAGAGAGAGATCTTCCATCATCTGGTTCACTGCCCAAATGGCCGCAATGGCTAGAGTTACACTCAACTGAGGCCAGTAGCCTGGAGCTCCCCTGGGATCTCCCACATAGGTGACAGGAGACCAGGGATTTGAGCTGTCAACTGCTGCTTTCCCAGGTGCATTAGCAGGGAGCTAGGTTGAGACTAGAGCAGCTAGAACTGAAACCAGTGCCCATATGGGACACTGGAGTTACAGCCAGCAATTTAAGGTGTTGTGCCACAATGCTGACCCCATACGTCATTTTTAAAAAATTGCTCTTTATTTGACAGGCAGAGAAACAACGGCATAGAGAATATTCTATTGTCTGGTTCAATTCCCAGGCTAAAGCTGGGAGCTTGAATTCAGTCTGAGTCTCCCACGGGAGTAGCAGAGCCTCAAGCAGTTAAGCCATCGCTTGCTGGTCCTCAGGGCGCGCATGAGCAGGAAGGTGGAATCGGAAGCCAAGCTGGAATCGAACTGAGGCATTGTGATACAGGCTGTGGGTGTCCCAAGCCATGGCTTAACCACAGCATCAAACACAGGCTCTAACAGGTGTCAAGGTTGAGGCAGTTGCCCTAGGCAGACCCTAGGAAGACCCAAGGCTAGATCAGAGTGGGCTGCAGCCTCCCAGGAGAGGCCTGCCTTGTACTGTGCTCTTCCAGTATGGCCTTGAGTTAGTCCCTGTACGAACAATGAGAGCTCAGAGCTGATTCAACATTTCCAAAGATGTCATCTTGGGGTACTAGGTTTCCACAGCAAACTCACTGAATTATAACCGTGGAGGCCTGGCCACTGAGGCCTTTGGTGGCCACCCACGAACAGTTGTGCACTCTTGCTTGCCATCTTATTTCACCGCTGACACCTACAGAATGCAGGAGGACAATATTTTGCTATTGGCTTTTGCACTGGGCCCCACCAAACCAGGCTAGAAATTAAAAGGGAGGGGCCCAGTACCATAGTATAGTAGGTTAAGCCTCTATCCACAGTGCTGGCATCTCCTATGGGCACTGGTTCATGTCTCAACTGCTTCCTGTGCTTGGGAAAGCAGTGGTAGATGGCCCAAGTCCTTGGGCTTCTGCACTCACAAGGGAGATTCGGAGGAAGTTCCTGGTTCCTGGCTTCAATCTGATCCAGCCCTGTCTGTCGTGTCCATTTGGGCAATGAACCAGGGGATGGAAGATCTCTCTGTCTCTCCTTCTCTCTCTGTAATTCTGCCTTTTCAAATAAAAAAGTAAATTTTCGAAACTGTAAAAGAAATCAAAAGGGAGTAACTTGTGCTCAAGCTCCTTAACACAAACTGAAACCAAGTTATCTGTTTGACCTTGACCCCTCCAGAAATCTGGAGACTGAGAGGCAGGTAGACATGATAATGAAGTTCCTTCTTCACTGATCTGTATTCCTTTGATCCTTTAAAATAAGATGTGTTTATATAGAGTTAGACACATACAGGGGGAGAGAGAGAGAGAGAGAAAGGGAGAGAGAGCTTCCATGTACTGGTTTACTCCCCAAATGACCATGCCAGATCAGATTGAAGTCAAGAGCCAGGAGCTTCCTCCAGGTCTCCCACTCAGACTTGGGGCCATCTGCTGCATTCCCAAGCCATGAGCAGGGACCTGGACGGGAAGCTGGAGCAGCCGAGACACTATCTGGTAACCCAAATGGGATGGTGGCACCGGAGGCAGATGCTTTATTCTGCTACACCACCTGACGGGTCCTTCATTCCTTTAATCCTTAAACAAAGTAATTCTGTCTTCCTGTGTCTGTCTTACAAGGAAAATCGCATGAAGTGACCAGCATGCCCCTGGTCCTTTGTTTTTATTTTTGACCATCCTTCTCAATAAAACTAACCTTTTCTGCTTAGCCCATCAAAAACCTCATCTTATTTAAACGCAATGAAATGCTATCCGATTCTAGAATCACAGTCAAGTCAGTGGCAATCTTTAAGCTCAGCGTGCTGTGTCTTGTCCTTCAACGCAGCCCTACTTAGTCCTTAGTGCCTACCACGCTGTCGGCTCTGTTGATGTTGATTTTACTGCTTGGCTGGTGTATAGGCCCCATAGTAGCAAGGATTTAACAAAACAACAGCTTGAGGATGTGTGTGGCAGGGGTAGTGATGCAGCTCACTCACCCACATCCCTTATCAGAGTATTTGGGCTCAAATTCCACCTTCACCTCAGATACAGACTTCTTCTAATGTGCACCTGAGAGCAAGCGGGTGTTGGCTCGAGTACTTGAGTTCTTGCTATCCTCATGGGGAAAATGGATGCAACTGCTGGCTGTTGCCTTCTGCCTGGCCCAGCCCCAGCTTGGCATCTGCCATGTGCGGGTGAACTGGAGGACAGGGCATCTCTTATTCTTTCTCCATCTGCAGTTCTGCCATATATATATGTGTCATTTATATATATGACACATTTTTAAAGATTTATTTTTACTGGAAAGTCAGATATACAGAGAAGAGGAGAGACAGAGAGCTAGGTCTTTCATCTGATGATTTACTTCACAAATGACTGCAATGGCCAGTGCTGCGCTGATCCAAAGCCAGGAGCCAGGAGCTTCCTCCAGGTCTTCCACGCAGGTGCAGGGTCCCTAGGATTTGGGCATCCTCAACTGCTTTCCTAGGCCACAAGCAGGGAGCTGGATGGGAAGTGGAGCTGCCGGGATATGAACCAGCACCCATATGGGATTCTGGTGCATTCAAGGTGAGGACTTTAGCCACTAGGCCACCACACCGGGCCCTATACAGGACACATTTATGACATATATATGACATGATATATATGTCATAATGATATATATATATATATACACGTATGTGTATATCAATGTTATTGATGGATAATTTACATAAAACACAATGTATTGGTTTTAACTGTGCACAAAATTAAAATTTTTTTAAAAATTAATTTTTACTGGAAATGCTGATCAGATTTATGAAGAGAAGGAGAGACAGAGAGGAAGATCTTCCGTCCACTGAGTCACTCCCCTGTAAGGTTCGCCAACCACCATGGAAAGAAAAAAGCTTCAGCCAACAGTTGATAAGAGGCCTTTACTGGGGGTGGTCCGTTCTTGGGTCTTTTCTCCACACAACAGAGAGACAGAAGGAGAGCAGAGATCTGCGGGGATGAAAAGCACAGACAAAAAGGCATGCAAAGGAGCATACAGAAGGCGTTTATTCCCTTCCTGCCTCTCCAGTGCTTATTAGGAGATGAAATACCAGCCCGAGGACATCACTGGTCCACCATGGCTCTGTTGCCCTGGTGACATGCCAGATCTGCACCACCCCTTCTGCGTCCATCTGGAGGTCCAAGTGACTGTAAACTCCACCAATCTCCATAGCCAAGGTAACCATCATTCAGGCCTCTTGGTAACAGGAAAAGGGGCATGAAGTCAATCTGGCTACTTCCTGCTGAGGAGGGGCGTAGTCCCTATGTGAGGAGTGGAAGAGGGTCCACGGGCACCCGAGTATAGGGGTGGAGAAGCATCTATTTGAAGGTGACCCATGAGGCGTCACAGATTTTTTCTTGGACAAACCTTAGCTAACAAGGGGCAGTGGTTAGTAAGAAGCCTATATTTATTAGTAGAGTGAATACTGGGATGAGCCATGACATGAGTGGGGATCCCCAAATATTCAGACCAGAGTTGTTGCCCGAGTTTTGTAAATTGTTGAGCCAGTTGCATACTGATTGTGAATTTTATATTCTAGCTTCTATTAGACCAGATTCATTAATATAGTAGCAACATTTCTCTTCTAAAAATATGCAAGATCCCCGTTTACTCGCAGTCAGAAGATCCAGTGCTCGATGGTTTTGTAGGGCAACTTCTGCCAATAATGTGACCTGTCGCATGTAAGGGTCTGTTTAGTTACTGGGAGGCAGAGTAAGATTATTAATAGGATTGAAGGCAGGAGAAACATCTTGGTGTTTAAAGGTTAGTGTGTTAGGCCCTATCTGTAAGGGTTTAGGAGTTCCATCAATACCCATAACTGAGATCTGGGAAGGATATGTATGGCTGGCATGAGCAGGCAACACAGAATAGGTAGACCTTGTGTCCACCAGGAAATTGATGGACTTACCCGCCACCTGAATGGAGACCCAGGGCTCAACCAGGCTGATGGGGATATCTGTCTGCAGGCCCTGCTAATCTTCAGTCAGTTCCAAGAGTTTGGGTGTTGGCCGGGTAGGTAGGACTGCTCCGGGGGAGGGTGTAGCATTCCAGGAGGTGGATTGCCAGACTCCCACATTGGGCAATCCAATTTTCAGCGACCTGTTTGCAGCGTGGACATGGCTTAGTAAGCCTGCAAGAACCTGGGTTGGGGCACTGTTGGGACCAGTGTCCCTCCTGTCTGCATTTAAAGCAGGCTCCTGCTGGTGCCTAGGCTCCACGAGGTGTGGTTGGCGGTAGTGCCGCCATCAATGCCTGGGACTTGAAGGGTCACCTTTTTCTCTAGTCTATCTTGCCTCACCTGTTCAGCCACCTCCTTAGGAGTATTGTAAACTTTAAAGGTCATTTTCACCAGTTCCTAATTAGGGGTTTGAAGGTGAGAGGTCTGAGTAACACATAGTTCCTACACAAACTCCGCCCACCTCCATAGCTGTGGTAACCATCATCCACAAGTGGTCAGAGCTGAGCTGATCTAAAGCCAGGAGCCAGTAGCTTCTTCCAGGTCTCCCATGTGGGTACACAGTTGCAAGGCTTTGGGCCGTCCTCTACTGCTTTCCCAGGCCACAAGCAGGGAGCTGGATGAGAAGTAGAGCAGCTAGGACACAAACTGGTAGAAATGGATTTTAATAGCAGTATACGGTCTTGTAATCACCACACCATCAAGATAAGGCACAGCTGCATCATCCTCCCCACCCCAATTTATTCCTGCTCCCCGCCCCCTCCCCCAGGCCACCCTGCCCTCCACCCCAGTTACCTGGCACCCTCTGCCCTGCCTGCTCCACTAGAGGCGTGGCAGTGTGGAGTCAGGACAGGGGGAGGCTCACACTGCCTTAGGAGTGACTCAGCCCATAGGCACCCTTTCTAGGCTGGCATCACAAGGGTTGATAACTACTATAGTAAATTTCTCATTGCAGCGTGCATCATGTTTCCTGCGTTCTCTGGTTTTATGGGAGTTGGTTCACTTTCCCAAATGCCCACAACAGCTGGGGCTGAGCCATGCTGAAGGCAGGAGCCAGGAACTTTACCTGAGGCCTCCCACATGGAGGTAGAAGGGCCCAAGCACATGGAACCATGATCCATTGCTTCCCAGGCATTTTAGCAGGGAGCTGGATGGGAAGCAGAGCGGCTGGGACTTGACCAGGGCCCTCATGTGGGATGCTGGAGTTGCCATGTGTGGTTTTAACTCCATAGGGACGGAATGTTGGTTCCCTTGGGGATTTTCTGTGCCAGGTAATGTCTAGGTATTTAAGAAACCTTTGTGAAAAAGTTGAAGTCTTCTTTGGTGAAGTTTTCAGGGTGGGGAAAGTATATAGTCAGTCTCCAGCATACACTGATGTGGGAGAATCAGGTTGGCCTGGGCTAGGTCTTGGCCTCCACTGAGCCACCTGAGAGCTGTGTCTGGATGCGGACCAGGTGTGGCTGGGCTGTAGTGCCCAAAAGCAAGAAC